GTGTGGTTCGGTGTGTGTGTGGGTGGGTGTGTGGGTGGGTGTGTGTGTGTGTGTGTGGTGGGTGGGTGTGTGTGTTGTGTGTGTGTGTGTGTGTGTTGTGTGTGTGTGTGTGTGTGTGGGTGGGTGTGTGTGTGTGTGTGTGTGTGTGTGTGTGTGTGTGTGGGTGGGTGGGTGTGTGTGTGTGTGTGGGTGGGTGGGTGAGTGTGTGTGTGTTTGTGATCGTGTATGCGCTTGTGCTAATTTTCGGGCGAATTTCTCGTATGCACATGTTTGCATTCGAAAGGGAGCGTCTGTACTCACTTTTTTGCGTAGATTGAGCTACAGCTCCTGGCCCCCCAGGTCTCTTAACTAGTGAGTGTGGTCATTGCCTGACGCCTCACAGGCCGCGTTTTTGGACCTTGTCGTATAAGCGCTGAAGGACCAGCACGGAGACCTAACCATTTGTGCCACCTCCTCCTCCGCAACGCGTTAATGACTGACGTTTATTCTGGTATACGGCCTCCAGTGGTTCTGGTTCTATTTGAGACTACGAGCCCAAGGACACTTTACCGCGTCGCCTTGAAATACATTACATGATGTCAGCATGTTCCCTGTGCCTATAAGTTTATTCCAAGTGGAGAGATGGTCGTCGAGGATGTCCCTGAAGGTTCTGGCTCCTCAGAGAGATCAGTCTCCATCTTTTCGGGTTTCCTTATATATGCCTTTTGTGTCTCACGCTGGAGATGTATACTCCAGTATAGTTCTCCTGTGAAATTACTTTTTTGATACTTCGGAAGGCTGTCGATATGTATAGAAGTGTTGTGTGGTGTTGTGTGAGTGCTCGGCGGTGCACTGGGTGTCGTCCACTCTCACACTGACACAACAACGCCAAACCAACAATTCCAACCCCTTAGGTCCTAACCTGTAAGTTATATGTGTGAGTGGGAGAGTAATGTCTCTCTCTCTCTCTCTCTCTCTCTCTCTCTCTCTCTCTCTCTCTCTCTCTCTCTCTCTCTCTCTCTCTCTCTCTCTCTCTCTCTCTCTCTCTCTCTCTCTCTCTCTGCAGGCTTAGGGGTGTTAGCCTGAATCGGCTATAAAACGAATTCTAGACTTCACCCCTACACCCCACCACTAGACACGACGTCTCGCGGATAGTTGGAACACGTTTAGGTTAGGTTAGGTTAGGTCAGGTTAGGTTAGGTTAGGTTAGGTTTTCAGAATATGTTACTCGTTTCGATTATAACCTCTCCACTAATAAGTCGCGAATTTTACGTTATCGTAACCATCGTCACAAATACAACTTATTAAAGAAAAGATACTGCTAACAAATTCCTACGTTTTCTAAAGTTCGAACTCGATCCGTTTTCTATGTATAGGACTCGGTGGGTTGGTTGGGTTCGTATGTTTCTGGTGAGGCTAAAAAGAACTGTGTGTTTTAAAGAGGATTTCTTCATGCATATATATATAATATCTCAGGCGATATATAAATTTTCTTGAATATATGAAACAATTGCCAATCAGCATTCATCAATGGTTATAAATATACCTTTTTTGTATTATTGATCGTTGATTTATAGTTGATCAATGCAAATCAGTACAAAAATATTTCCTGTAAGACTGTTGTGATCAAGAGACATGCAGAAAGAAACCATGTTAAGAGGAGATGTGACGTGTTCCAGATGATGTGATGTGTTGGAGATGACGTGACGAGTTACATGTGGCATGTTAGACACACACACACACACACACACACACACACACACACACACACACACACACACACACACACCCACACCTCCCCCATCCTGTGTGTGTGTGTGTGTGTGTGTGTGTGTGTGTGTGTGTGTGTGTGTGTGTGTGTGTGTGTGTGTGTGTGTGTGTGTGTGTGTGTGTGTGTGTGTGTGTGTGTGTGTGTGTGTGTGTGTGTGTGTGAGTACACACACACACACACACACACACACACACACACACACACACACACACACACACACACACACACACACACACACAACATGGGGGAGGAAGTCCTTCACGAAAAGGACAGAGAGAAAGATCTAGGAGTTGATATCACACCAACCCTGTCTCTTGAAGCCCACATCAAAAGAATATCATCGCCGAAGTATGCGAGGCTGGCAAACATCAGAACTGTCTTCAGAAACCTGTGTAAGGAATCATTCAGAATCTTGTATACAACATATGTAAGACCAATCCTGGAGTATGCGGCCCCAGCATGGAGCCCGTACCTTGTCAAGCACAAGACGAAGCTGAGAGAAAGTTTAGAGGTATGCCACTAGGCTAGTTCCAGAACTAAGAGGCATGACTTATGAGGAAAGGCTGCGTGAACTGCACCTCACGTTCCTGGAAGACAGAATAGCTCGGGGAGACATGATCACCACACACAAAATTCTCAGGGGAATTGACAGGCTAGACAAGTAGGGAAGGATGGATTATTTAACACTGGTGATACACGAACAAGGGGACACAGGTGGAAACTGAGTACCCAAATGAGCCACAGAGACGTTAGAAAGAACTTTTTCAGTGTCAGAGTAGTAGACAAATGGAATGTACTAGGAAGTGATGTGGTGGGGCTGACTCCATACAAGTTTCAAATGTAGATATGATAGAGTCCAGTAGGCTCAGGAACCTGTACACCAGTTGATTGACGGTTGAGAGGCGGGACCAAAGAGCCAAAACTCAACCCCCGCAAGCACAACTATGTGAGTACAACTAGATGAGTACATACACGCACCATGTATGAGGCGAGGGGTCACGCGGCTGAGTGGACAGCGCTCGGGGGTCGTAGTCCAAATGGCCGGGTTCGATTCCAGGCAGAGGCGGTAACAAATAGGCAGAGTTTCTTTCAACCTGGTGTACCTGTTCACCTAGCAGTAAATAGATTCCTTGGAGTTAGACAGCCGCTACGGGCTGCTTCCTGGGAGTGTGTGTGCGTGTGTTAGAAATATATTTAGTAGACATAATGGAGGAAAATAGATTGGCTGGAAAGGCGGAGTCCAAGAGGTAAATAGATTGATTCTGCAGACACAAATAGTAAATACACACACATGCACGCACGCACGCACACACACAAACAGGCAATGATGTGGTGGAGGCTGACGCCATACACAGTTTCAAATGTAGATATGACAGAGCCCAGTAGGCTCAGGAATCTGTACTCCAGTTGACTGACAGTTGAGAGGCAGGACCAAAGAGCCATAGCTCAACCCCTGCAAGCACATCTAGGTGAGTACAATTAGGTGAGTACACACACACACACTCACGAGTCCAATACACGTTTAAATCGAGGCTGGCGAGCGCATTAATTCCAACAATACTCATTACCCTCAGAGACGCACTTGACGTGAGGAATTTTGTCTTTTTAAAATCTAGATTAAAAGCTGACGTTTGTTGAACTTTTTCTACGCTATATATAAGGTGACGTCAGAGCGTCACAAGGCAAGCTGACGTAGGGACATTATATACCTGATTACTGTCGTTGTACGTCGAGCTGCTTGACGTCACACACCTGAGCGCCACGTCACGGCATTGGAGAATTTTTGTTGAATTATAATTTTATACATTTTATATTTGGCCGCACTAATGTGTGACTGCGCACTAATGACGCACTAATGTGTGACTGCGCACTAATGACGCACTAATGTGTGACTGCGCACTAATGACGCACTAATGTGTGACTGCGCACTAATGACGCACTAATGTGTGACTGCGCACTAATGACGCACTAATGTGTGACTTTTCTGTAGCCGTCCGCCTAAAATGTATTTAGTATTTATGGTCGCTAATTGGCCGAACGTACAAAAATTGACTGTTGCAGACGACAATGTTCGTACACACGAAAAGCACAATAGCGTGATATATCAAATGAACAAATCCACAAGGGCCGTGATGAGGGTTCGAACCTACGCACGGGATGAACATTTGGTTGACAGAGCCTTGGTGCATGTGAGGGGGGGGGGGAATGTGTGAAACCCCCATTGGGGTTTGGAGAAGCTTCGGGATCCTAGTGAGGGCAGTAGCACTCCAGGTTGCAGTTATTTTTACCATGTCGTGGTATAGTTAACTAAGGCGCTTTTGGGAATACCCCGTGCGTAGGTTCGAACCCTCATCATGGCCCTTGTGGATTTGTTCATTAACAATGTTCATGTTTTGGTACTATGATGGCCACGACAAAAAAAAAATCAAACTTTCCTAGATTGAGTATAGCACACATATATATGTACTAATTTATTTCCAAGATAGCAGATATTATGCCTGGGACTCTTAATTTATGCCTGGGACAGGTTAGGTTATCTTGGCTCTGTTGGCACGTGATCCATTGTGGAGGTAATCCAAAAGTACAAAACACGAATATTTTTTGGAGGATGGGTTGCATACCTGTTATGAACGCATGACACGAATTTCATGAACTCATGACAGGAGGATCATGAGCTGGAATGTCATGAACTCATGACAGGAGCGCCGTGAGTTCATGACAGAAATCTCAGGTCACCACCCTTCTGTAGTATCATATAGCATGGTTAATGCAAATTATTATACCCCATGTAATAATGATATATATATTTGCTTTTTCTTGCTTTTTTTTGTGGGGGTTGGGAGGGGGGTGTTAAAACTATCCAGCCACAGGCACAAACGCTCACTCAGACGTTATATCTAAGATGAGATCACTAACCAAGAATCACTAACCACTCAACTACTCTCCTCTTGCGTTAACCAGTCAACCGGTACTCAAGCACCGACTACATATCCATCGTTCTCCTCCGTCGAATGGAGAGGCAGTCTGCTCTCACCATTTGACAAGCGTCGAATTGAATGAGGTTTTGCGTAACTAGAAGCCTAAGCACCTAGAACACCCATTATCGAGGCCAGTGCTTGGTAGTCAGAGGCAGCGTTTCAGGCAAGCACCTCCTTGCCAAGCGGCCTCAACCGTGCTTCCTAAACACAAAAGAAAACGGTCCCGCTTCCCCAAGACAAAAGGAGGAAAAGAGCCCCTGTTGAAGTCTTACCATTTTTGAGCGTCCAAAGGGAGGAGTAGGAGGCGGTCGATCACACTCTCGATGCCTTGCACACGCTCTTGTATTCACTCAAGAGCAACACAGCCCTCTTGAGAATACACTCTTCTCTTTAGATATGCCCTCTCGAAGCGTCGAGCCTCCCAGCGGAGGTGCAGGTAGATAAAGAAGACCTGATGGATGTCCTCGTTCTTCGGGAAGCTTTCTCTGCGTCGTCGTTGTCCTCTAGTAGTGTCCTGAAGGAGGTAGTGTTGAGGGCTCTCGCTGTGTGTTTTACCCGCTGTGTCTCAGCCCTGTTTATCGACAGAGACGATTGTGCCCTAGTGCTGTCTGTCGTTATTTTGTCGCTTGGTGTGGCGTGTTCTGTGGTGGCTGGTCAGTGTTCGCTCTTGTTGTGTTGTACCGCTTTTAGAAACAGTGGTATGTTCTTGTCACGGGGCGCTACGGGCGTGTTCAACTGTTCAACCACCCGGCAGAGTTCTTGACGCAATCACTATGAGGTGTTCAGTATAAGATGTTTATTATGACGTCCCCTTCAAGTGTTCAGCTCGGGGTTGGAGTCGGTGAACACTGAAGTTACAACAACGAATAATATATAATTAATCAACGCAAGATGTTCAACGCAAGATGTTTTCCACGGTGCGCTGAGAGCCGAGTGAGTTCTGAGAGCGTGTGACTCTCTGTATTCCGGGCGAGAGAGCAGCGCTTAGTGTGTATATATATATATATATACACACGCACGCACATACACCGCTTCCCTTCCTCTTCTCCATACACAAGATGGCGAATGGAGACACGCCCATGACGACTTTCCCCGTGGTATTCGTCTCTGATTCAATAACGTTCACGACTATCAGACCCATCCCCTTAAATCCTAAAATCCTCGCGAGAACTGAATGATTCAGTGACGTCAGAAATCCCTAAGAATGACCCAATTTCGTTGCGTTTTCAAAGGGAACAAGGTTATTGGTAATGATAAATTAATTCAGAACGTATTGGATCGATCGGCCACCGTGAAGCCCCCCGGCCAGGTTGCCAACTCAAACATAGGATACAGTTGCTTCATAACACCCCAGCATCCCCTCTACATTGTCGTGCAGTGGTTTGGTATGGAAAGGTACCATATATGTATATATATATATATGCGATAGGGTTAAGGAGGAAAAAAAGTAATGATATATTTGGGGGCCACATTTGGGTCCAAATGCATTTTTTATTTATTTGTTTTCTCTTTTTTTTTAAGTTTTGCCACCCAAATATTATTGCTTAGAAGCAGCAGGTATTGCCCAGGTAAGTTAATTAAGCTGTTTACGCCTGAGATTAACTTAGAGAAGAGAGGTAGCAAGGTCGCCTGACGTCACTCTCGGAAGGCGGCTGGTTTTCAGCGATGAGTCGATGATAAAATATTATTATAACCTTGATAATTACTTTATTACTGCTATTACCAGAAGAGCTCAGTGGGGGGAGGGAGGAGGGAGGGTGTGAGGAGACACAGGGAAGAAGGAATGAGGGAGTGAGGGGACACAGGGAAGAAGGAATGAGGGAGTGAGGGAACACAAGGAATGAGGGAGTGAGGGAGTGAGGGGACACAAGGAAGAAGGAATGAGGGAGTGAGGTGATACAAGGAAGAAGGAATGAGGGAGTTAGGGGACACAGGGGAAGAAGGAATGAGGGAGTGAGGTGATACAAGGAATGAGGGAGTGAGTGGGACACAGGGAAGAAGGAATGAGGGAGTGAGGGACACAAAGAAGACGGAATGAGGGAGTGAGGGGACACAGGGAAGAAGGAATGAGGGAACACAGAGAAGAGGGAGTGAGGGGACACAAAGAAGACAGAATGAGGGAGTGAGGGGACACAAGAAAGAAGGAAGGAGGAGACGAAAGGAAACCATGGGAGAGGATAGAAGAGAAAGTAGATGATCTCTCCTGAGAGTATTATTGTATCATCAGTTACTTAACACCGGTTTTGTTTTGTTTATATTCGTCACTTGCTTAACAAAATACATTTTTGGTTGTATAATAAATCATTAATTCTGTATATACAATCGTTCTTATTTATTAAATCTTGTGCTTTATCACCACTAAATATCGTCAGTAACTTCCCAAGTAACTAAACTGTAGTTAATATTATTTGATAATTTCCCTGTAGGAAAAAGTAGGAACATTAAGAGGGTGAAAAAGTCCAATAATGTATTTGAAGAGCTTTTAAGATCAAATAAAAGTGAATAACGTGAATAAAAATACAGTTTCTTCGAAGCATAATGGAAAAGTCAATAGAAATAAACATCGAAAAGAATGTAGCATTTAAACACTTAGAAAAGTGTTTGGGGATATGTTGTACTTAAACAATAACCTGATGATAATATGATGATCATCATATTGATATTGAATTGTCATCATTATATTATCATCATATTAAATTGAGAACAAATAATAATGAATGACTTTGATCTCTCATTTATCTTAAAAACTTAGACTAAGAAATCAAATTTGATATCTGAGGGAAGAGAGGGGGTGAGAGAGGGGGTGAGAGATGGGGGTGAGAGAGGGGGGGTGAGAGATGGGGGTGAGAGAGGGGGGTGAGAGAGGGGGTGAGAGAGGGGGGGTGAGAGATGGGGGTGAGAGAGGGGGTGAGAGAGGGGGGTGAGAGAGGGGGTGAGAGAGGGGGGTGAGAGATGGGGGTGAGAGAGGGGGTGAGAGAGGGGGGTGAGAGAGGGGGGGCAGGTGGTTGTGTCAACACGTACAGCTGGTGAAATCCTGGCCACGTGACCACCTGCAGTAGCTGGTTCCCCGCCTACGTAGCGTTGCTCCGCCACTTCGAAAAGGTCTGACCTTGATCATCTCTAAGGTGTGGCGCCTTTCTCCAGTTTCAATAGTTTGGTGAACTTTCTTCCAGGGCCATCACAGCTATATACCTCAGCCTTGAGCCTCTTTCTATGGATCAGAAAGTCAGAGCCGCTGGCACTCTTGAGCTTGGCACCACTGTGCCATCATATGGCAAGCAAAAATAGGATATTAAATGAATGTCCAAAGTGCCATCTCGCTTCTCTCTTCCCGATCCAGGCTAATACAGGATGGATTCTCAGTTTATTAATTCAGTTGTGATTTTGACACTCATAACTAGACAAAATATAACAAATTTTGGTATTGAGGGAATCAGAGCTCTAAGGAAGGAGCTCTTAAAGAGGGAGCTCTAAGGAGGGAGCTCTAAGTTTTTGACTGTGCTTGATGCCTTCTTTAGATAATTACTTACTTTTTCACCCAATTCCGTCATTCCTTTGTTTTAATTGACGCCCTGAATGGACTCAACTCCCAAGAGAAGATTTGAAGCCGTCCGTGTAACTTTTTGTGAAATAATTCGCTGTCGTATTGGCAATGGTGGTCTTTACAATAATCGGCCTCGTTGTCCGCTCTACTGATGTAGTAGAAGTAGAAGTAGATATCTTCATGGTAGTGACTACTTTTCACTTGCAGTATGACTCGTACAGCTGGTACAGTCTGCCTGTGCCACGTCGCCCTCTATGGCACCTAGTTAAAGAGAACCGGTCTTCCGCTCTGTGAAGCTCGCTACTGGACGACGCTGAAGTTTTTATACTGTCAGAATATTATTATTACACTTTTTTACATTCAAGTAATACGCAGCTGAGATGGTAACATACCAACAATGACGTGCAGTCCCTTGGCACTCACCTAATTGCTCAGGCGAGGGTTAAGCTTTGGAAGCCTGTGGTAGAGTATATACGTGCAGCCACAACCCGCACATTATTACTAGAAAGCTAAAATAGATTTCAGTTGTGGGCGTACTGGCACCAGCGTCCTAGTGGGGAGGTGAGAGACCTCCGGCCAGTACACACCATTTTATCCATCAGTGTTGCGGCTTTATGGAGATACAGTGGTAGAACCTGAGGCTGTTTCTACTGTAATTAGATGAGCACTTTGCTGGAAGTGACCCCAAAAATACTCACTTTCTTCAAGAAAATGAGTATTTTTTATATTTTCTTCAGGACTACAGGAAGATCTCCATCGTCGTTAATGGCGCCAAGAGGAGACGTGAGGCTTTGATGTTAGCTCTCAGGGAAGAAGAAAAGTGCCCAGCATCCCTTACACTTTTCTTAACTCCCTGAGATAAGAGCAGCGCTCTCGGCGTGTCGGGATGCTTCCTCTGGACACAGTAGTATTCCATGAGCTCTGATTTGTCCCTTGTCTGATGAGTTACTAATTTATCTTCCATGGCATTCCATAATTAAAATAATCATTAGAGATAGTGTTTTAGAATTGTAGAGGTCCTCAAGTTACTTGGTAATAACTGGAAACCAACACGGGTTGTGTAACAGATGATCCTACATAATTTATCTATTAAACTTTTTCTATTAAATCTATTAAACTTATTTAATTACATGCACGAAGCAATGTCAAGCCGCGAGCAGTGCAGTGAGTAGTGCCGCGAGCAGTGTCGCGAGCAGTGCTGTGAACAGTGAGATAAACAGAACACTGGGTTTCATTGTTAGACATTGTTTTTATTATTCGCCAAAGATAGTAGTGACTGTACAGTACCTTGGTCAGACCTCACCCTAAATACTCATTTATAGTTATAGACCCTAAATTGCAATAAAAATAAGACGCGCTTGAGAAAGTAAACAGAAGAGTTCTAGACTAGTATCAACTTTAAGAAATAAGTCTTAAGAAGACTCAATAGATCTAGATTTGTCTTTGATGCAAGAGGACAACAGGAAGATCTAATCGAAAGACTTTTAAGAAAAACAAACATTTAGAATCACTCAAATGTGAAGAACGGTTTTTGAGCCATAAACAGATTTAACTACGAGAAATAATTGACATGAAACGTAAGGTAAGCAGAGGCAATACTAACGTTCTAAAGGAGTTATTGGCTTTAGAAATGAAGAATATTGGAACAAATTGACCACTTGATAGTGTAGGCACAAATCCATTACAATTCCTTTGTAAGAAACGGCAGGATTAGTGCTTTGAAACTTCAGTAGGCAGCCATCAGTCTCGGGAGACTATTGTGCTGAGCTCTGGTTGTCGGTCTGGAGTGGCCTCTCCAGGGCGCAAACCCAAAACCACTTTACATGTCAATTTATCCTATATTTTGACATCGAGGCGTATGTGGTTGTGTGTAACTCGCAGGTTGAGGGAGAGGTAGTGGTGTAGTGTCCCCTACTCGTACTGACAGCAGCCAAGAAGTGTGTGGCATTGTTTACAATGGTAGTGAGAAGTGCTTATTGGTTCACCTTCCCTGGTCAAACTTCCAGTGTCGTTTGTCACGTTGATGTGGTGGTACTTCCTCGACGTTTTCCCGCCGGAGGAAGTGGGAAGTGACGGTAGAGAGCCTACAGCTTTGCTATCACGATCTCTTCAGTACACACGTGCATCAATCAGTTGTGTTAGCGGCAGAGAAGATGGTCTAGTTTAATGGCATATTAGCTGATCATAGCTATATGGGTCTTCCGTGTTGCCCGTCTTGACCATATATACACTCTGCTCTCGGTGTCTGGGATGAAGGGCAGGGGATATTTTTTGTACAGTGGTGTGAGCCTCATATGTACTCTCTCTCTCTCTCTCTCTCTCTCTCTCTCTCTCTCTCTCTCTCTCTCTCTCTCTCTCTCTCTCTCTCTCTCTCTCTCTCTCTCTCTCTCTCTCTCTCCTCTCTCTCTCTCTCTCTCTCTC